TTTTTTTTTTTTTTTTTTTTTTTTTTTTTTTTTGGAAGGTATAGAGCAGTGAACACCAATTTTATACTGTTGACTTAACAAGCAATGTATCTTATCTGAACGATTCAAAACTGCCGCACACAAATTGTATTCTACTTTTGTTTTCGCGAAAAAATTTTGATTTTTTTTTCTTCTGTAATAATGCAGAATATGCTTATCTAAAAGTAGTAGATTTTTTCTTTTTCATTTTAATAATCTGTCTGTATTCTAGAAGGTATAATAGAATTTTAAAGTTTAAAACGACAGTTTCTTATTAATCCTTGTTTTTGTTTCTCTAAACATTTTCACCGTTAGTTAAACAAATCTTGGTTACAGTCTCTAACTGTGAAGATAAGGAAAGAGTACAAAACTGACCGTCAAACTGTTTATTTGAACCATCTTTTAACTAGATTTTTATGTTCCTTAAAAATCATCTTAGTTTTTTTTTGATAAAACAAATGATAACTTCTACAAAAACAGAAATTAAATACTTTTGAGTTTACTTGGTAAGAAAGTTTGTGTTTTCTGGTAAAGCAAAATCTTTAAAAAAAAAATTTGACTTTAGAAGGAATAACATCTTGAGTACATACGCAAAAACTGAGGAGTTACTGGAAATAAATGTTAACGAATTAGCGAGAAAAGAAGAACTTTTGAAGAGTTGTCTCACCAGCTAACAAATTTTTCGTTTAGTACTCGAAGTCTCTGATAGTTTATATCATAAGAAGCAAATACCATCACTTATTTTCTGAAAATGGAGTTCTTTGGTAGCGGCCGTACCCCTCGACTCGGTGAATACAAAAACATAGGTTTATACGGTATAGATCAACTAGCCGCTGCAGGAACTGAAAAAGCCAAAAAAACTCTGGTTAGTGTCTATAAACTACTGGCATTTAAATCATTTTTTTTTATTTTTATGAATTGTTTAACTGGTACTTTATTAAGATAATATAGAAGCTTTGTAGAAATGAAGCATTGATAAAATCTTTGCGGATGAGCTAAATAAATGAAACTGCCCAATATTTTTTAAAACTTAAAAAATACTTAAGTATGAGTTTTTAAAACCATTTTCAAAACTGTAAAAACATGGCATTCCAACACTAAAACCAGGTGTTGTTTATAACGATAAGTTTTATTATAAATTGATCAAAACAAATTAAAATGTATCAAAAAGTACACTTTTGAGACATACAGACTTGCATATGTGTCATCGCAAAAGCGCTTTTTTTTTCTTTAGGAAACGTTATTGCTGATAGCCTGTGAAAAAGGTCAAGCAAATTCTGTTAGATACTTGGCGGAGAGAGGCGCTAACGTGAACGGAACTGATGATTACGGAGTAAAACTTCTTTGAAACACTTAAAGTTTTTATCATTCAAATAATATGTTTATTTGAAAGAACTTTTTCCATATTTCTCTTTTTTTTCGTTTTTTTAGTAAAAGTGCTGGTGCAAGTGACAAAAAAACAATAAATACCTTTCACGTATCTAATAATTATGAGGCGTTTTCATAGCTGCTTTAATCTAACAACGCGATATGGCAACTGATATCGAAGATATCTATATAACCTGAAAATAGTAAAGTACTTCTTGTTAAATCTGGAAATTCCCAGAAAAAAAAAAGTTACGATAAAGTAGAAGCAGAAAAGAATTATGCAAAAGCTACATGCTCTTAGAAGAACTACTTTTTCACTTTAGTGGACTCCTCTAATGATAGCGACCCAAAGTGGTCAGAATGGAATTGTAACGTATTTGATGGAAAAAGGTGCTGAGACTGAAGCAGTTAATAAAAACGGGGTAATCGTTTGTTATAATAGTTAGTATATGTCACAGTTAAAAAATTTTTTTTGGAAAGTTTATTTCAAACAGTTGCTGCTGCAGGTTACCGAAAAAACTGATTCCAAATTTCTTAACAGCAATATATGCTGTCGATTCAAAATCCAGAGTTCTTGTCATCAAAAACGGAAATAACTTGTCAAGATCAACTTACAGGTGTTAAAATTTGCCAAGTACTGCTGCTCATTCTAATTTCTTTTTTTATTATAGTGGACGACACTGATGATTGCCTGTAAAAATGGCCGATTCAAGACTGTAAAGCATTTGTTGAGTAAATACCCCAAACTCAGTGAAGAGGCTGACAACGAGGTAGCTTTTCGATAAGATTTTATAAAAGCTTCAAAAGCAACATTTTTACAACTATTTTTGAAAAAATGCTTTTTTTTTTCAAAAAATTTTAGTATAATGCTCATTATTTGATGTGCATTTACCTTTCGAAGTAGCAAAAACTTTTTCTTGATAAGTTTTTCTTTTTGTATTTTGTAGCACATTCAGTATGATCCTCAAGAGCTTTGAAAAAAGTTTTTGTGATGACAGTTTCTGAGAACTATAAAACCATTGCAATAAAATTAAGCAATGTGTAAGTAAAAAGAAGAAATGTTTCTTTTTTTGTTTTTCAAAAACAGAAAAAACTTTCTAAAACTGTAGACAAAAAAGCTAGTTTTAATTTGTTTCGCAAAAAAACTTTGTTATCTATTACCTGTTTTTTTATATTTTAAATTAGTATAAGCTCTTTGAAAAACTTTTTCAATTGTTAAAGTCTATAGTACTACTTTTCAATGGTAATAATAGTAGTTTTGGTAAACAAACTTCTATCACCCATGAAAATACAAAGCGAAGAAAAAAAATTGTGCAGATTGCTGATAATAAAGAGAGACTAAAAAAACACAAGAGCAGTAAGAAAATAGAAAATAATCAAAGTGAAACTCAATATTTGACCACGTGCTGTAGTAAAAATTCAGGAGAAGAACAAGAAAACTTACACCTCTGAAGTTGACTTTTACAAAGACTTCGCATTTAACGGGAAAAGCCAGAAGCAATCCTGTTTGAGCTGCTGTCTGTTTTAAATTTTGCAGACAATACTTCACATCAGAATTTCTCATTTTTTAATTGAAAACGTAAAGAAAAAGCTGACTGAAGAGATTTTGGCTCTCTGCTTGAAATTTCACTTTTTTACTCCTGATGTTAATCGTTTCTGACCGGGAATAATTTTGATAAACGATACTTTAATTTAAAAGCTCCTCGCTAAAGTCAAAAAAGCGGAAAAGAAAACAAGCAGTAAAACATTTGAATCATCAAAAGTTTAAAATCCTGACTTTGATATCATTGCTTTATGAAGGCAACATATAACTAAAAAAGTTAATTACAAAAAACTGCGACAGATACTTAAACAATTTCCTAAATATAAAAACCTTGGAAAACTTTTTGGTTTGGTTACATTGCACTTCCAGTCATCTTTTCGACAACCTTAAGTGGGTAAAAAAGAAGGCGGTAGATGCAAAGTTCTATAACTTGAGTTCTTAATAAAAGAAAGAGAGTATAAAAACCTATGCTAAAAATATAAATGCGAAGAAGAGCTAAAATGAGAGCTGATCTGTCCTCGCAGCAAACGCTTAAATGAAGAGAAAAGAGGAACGAAAAAAATATTAATTTTTAACAAAAAAATTAACTCAAAAAATGACCAAGAATGTTAAATTAGCAAACCTCAGACCTTAAAAAGTGTAGTATTAAGTTTAAGACTAAAGTTCAGTTTAGAGCACGAAATTTACCTGCTGCTTTCTAAAACATGTCGATAAATGTTTGTTTTTCACATTAAAATTATTACCATTTTACTAGTTCGAATTTGCTATATTTTTACTCTGACACAGCGTTTTTTAGATCTTGAAACAGAAGAGGAACAGTATCGAACTATTAGTATTAAATGTTCGGCTATAAACAAGTCGTACTCTCATTTCAGAAAGCACCGTTATGGATTGCATCTCGAAACGGTCACGTCGAAATTATTGACTACTTTATAAAAAGAGGAAGCAACGTAAATGGAACGAACGAAGACGGAGTAAGGCTTTATAAAAGACTGTTTCTTTGTTAAACTACTGAACTGTTTTCCAATTGACCTATGTTTTCTCCATTAAACTGGCAGGTAGGTAATTTAGATTAAACTTAATTTAACTGGTAAAACCAAACACTCTAAAATGTGATCAATTCTAGACTAAAAGTATATGATGAACTAAGAAGAGCGCCGCAATTAATAAACACAATTTTTGTTTTTTCTTCAGCTTTGTGCTTTTAATTTTTTCTTCAAAAACCTTGAAGAATAGAAAAAAGCTTCTGGTAACAGATTACCGAACAAAACGAGAAAGGTGACATAGTACCTCGGTGTTCAATTGCAGCAGTTTTGTAAATTTATTTCATTAAGTCTAATTCGGCAATTTTCCGCGCGACAACAATTTCTCTGCTGTTTGCTTATGTAAGGCACGGTATTTGGAGTTTATTATAAGGTGCTCTTATTTCTTCAGAATAAGATTTGACATTAATTGTTTGGAAAAAAGTTATGTTTTATAATTTTCTCATTGCAAGACTACCGAGTAGTAGCAAGATGAATCAAACGTGAATTTTGACACTGTTTCGAGGAGTTTATAGCTGCTCTTCCAAATACAACCAAGTGACACTAATGTGCTGGTAGTAAAGCATGTAACGAAAGTGAACAAAAAATTATAAGACGAAAAAATTTGAAAGACAAAAAAATAACAATAAGCAGTGATTAAATCTTCCAATCAGAAAAGTTTAGTTTAGATGATTAAACAAACAATTGAAAAAAAAAAAGAAAAGACATCAAATTCTTCTCAAGATTTACCAGTACGAAAAAAATAATAATTTTAAGAAATAAATCTGTAGTTTTCAACTGGTCGTTTCAGTTTACTTAAGCTTTGTTCTAGTCAAAATGCATTCATACTTACAGGAAAGTAATAATTCTTAGCGTATATTCCAATTTCTACTGCCTGCAAAAACAGTAATAACAATTACGGAAACTGTACAAAACAAAATTTGTCTTGGAAAAAAAATTGAGCTTTTTGCCGTCAAATATTCGCGCCATCGTTAACTACCACTGCTTACAAAATATGCAGTATAAAATATATTGAACAAGAAAGATAGCTTCTGAATTTAAAAAAACAAAAACACGCAAATTTGACATTAGCAGAAAAACTTCTTCAATTTTATTTTATAAAACTACATTTGTTCCTAATCTGAAATATAAGTTGTTTGTTAGAAGGAGGTATGATAACAGCGATAAGCAAGTTGATTTTTTGAACATTTCGAACAAAAACGTTAAGAAGCTGAAGTAATAAACGGTCAAAAAAATTGCCAGTTGTATATCCAAATGCAAAAAAAGAACCGCTTGAACACCCGCTGCGAAATGTATTGATACACTTTTATTTCTACACCTAACTTCTCTGAATCCAAAAAAGCCAAGATAACAAAATCAAGGGCAGCAGAAATTTTATAAAGTTGTTTGACTTTCTTAAGAGTTGTCAAAAATAATACTGCAATAAGCAGAAAAGAAGAAAAATTTGAATAAATGTGTAGTTTGGCAATATACAACTAAACTGTTAACAATGGTATCTACTTTGCAGACGTTTCGTGTCTCCGTATCTAAACATATTATTTTTTTTTTTTCATTCTCAAGCAAACAGTTTTCTGTGCTCAAACTGTGAAGACAATTTTCGTCTCTATTACTGTGAGGAGCATGGCGATAGACATGACACAAAAAAAAAAAAAAAAGTAAAGATACGTGTAATAAATGCATAAAAGACAACTAATATAATTGTTAGAATAATATTATACACACGGCCCTTTAAAACAGTAAAAAAGTAGAGGTAGAACGAAGCTTGAACTGGTAAGTGAGATTACGCTTATTATGTCTGCCAACTGATTTTTGCTTTCAAAGCGATCATTTTTTGATTTATACTTTAAAACGATACTGGAAATGGTTAAAGGTATTATTAAACTCCACTTTTTACACCAAAACACTTTCACGCCTGTCACGCTAAAAAATTCATTTTTCAAATAAACTGCACTTTTTTTTTTTTTTTATTTTTTTTTAAAGTTAGACTGGTTACTCTTCAGAATGACCAGATAAGGTAATTCGAGAATTGAGAGGCTTTTCAATCTAATTTTTTTTAGTGGACGCCATTGCTGGTTGCTTGCAAGGGAGGGCATGTTGAGGCCGTGAAACGGCTGGTGAACAGTGGTGCAAAAATTGCTACGGTGGATAAGGACGGGGTAAACCAATCGCTTTATCGATACAGAATAAATAGTTATAAAATTTTTGTGTCTTTCTTTGTTTAATTATTTTTTGGTTTGGTTTTCAAAAGCCATTCTAGCCAGTAAGTACCTTTTATTACTGTTAAAAAGTTTTGCTTCTGAAATTCTTTGAGAGGCGTTCTGGTCTTGGGAAACTTGAAGAATTACGACATTGCCTGAATATTGAACCAGAAGACACAATAATTCTTTTTAATTTCAATCAGAAAAAAAAAAGAATTGTTAGTAAAAATAGAAAATTTAACTGTTACACTTTTTTACCGCAAAATTTTGCTTTTTTTAAGGCTACACCGTTGTATGTTGCATCTGAGAATGGCCACGCTGGCGTCGTAGCATACCTCTTAGAAAAAGGAGTTGACGTGAATGCAAGGAAAAAAGATGGGGTTAGACTTTACGCTCTTAATCTTTAACTTTAATGGGTTATTTTCCTGGTTTATAATTTTACAACTATGTCGAGAAACTTTAGATTAGAGTTTAAAAAATATACTAGTTTTATCCACAAATTTTTTCTATCTTTGGTTCAAAAGTCAATGAGAGTAATCATTTCATTACTTTAGTGGACGGCGATGATGATTGCTGCTAAAAATGGCCATGTTGACGTCCTCAAAGAGCTTTTGAAACATAAGGCGGATATTAATGCAGAGACTGAAGAGGGGGTAAAAGTTGTTCAGATTTATAATAATCTTACTAATAAGCATAACGAGAGCTTGATGATCCAGTACAACTTTGTTTAAACGTATCCTAAGTTTTAACTTGTGGTTTATCATCTCATAATTAAGGCATAATTATGTGTTATTTCTGAAGTAGCAAAATAACGAAACGATAGCTAAATTACTGGTGACATACTGCATAAATTCGCTGCTGTTACATTGTAAATGTTTGATGGATCTCATATAAAGTTCAAATGTTTTTTGTTGGAAAACATCAAAAAATTGCGAAAGATTTTTTAAATTTGTGACATGAAATACCCTAGATAATTAAAAGATATAAACTTGTATCTGATACAGAAAATGTGCTCCTCTGCTGAAAAAACAGTTTCATTGATTGAAAATGAAAGGTTTTTAAATTGTAGCTCAAATAAAATATTTATCTGAAAACAATTTATTCGATTAATAACAAATGTGCCTATTTTTGGGAAGGCAGAAGCCAACGCTACGTGAGCTTTCACGCATCTAGCGTTCAGATCGCTAAAGACTGTTTTTTACGGTTTTTTAGTGGACCCCGTTGATACTTGCCGCTTTCCACACTCGATTTCCAGTTGTCAAATTCCTGGTTTCAAGTGGAGCCAATGTTTCCAAGAAAAACAAAAATGGGGTATGTACTAAAAGTGAAACTACTAAATTACGTTTTAAACAAAAAAGAGATTTATTTATACAGATTAAGTCTTTAAACTTTACTATTTACATGGCGCATAAAAAACAATAAAAGTCTTTGTATCGTATACAGTGGAAGTTTTAATAGGCATCTGCTATATCTTAAAAGACTTTCATATCAAGGCTAAGAAGCAAGATGCAAGCCCATGAGATAAGTTAAGTTGCAGTAAAAATTTAGAAAAAATTTAATTTATTAAATTTGAATACACTTAAGATTTGTTGACGGTTCTTCAAACAAACCAGTTGTGAAATTGATGCTGAAGTAGTTATAGAGTTTGTTATAGATATTTTGAGTTTCGTGCAAGGTAGAATCTGCACTTCTGGAACAAAAAAAAAGCTGACATTGGAGCATTTACGTTTCTAAAAAAACATGTCATTTTATTTTAGAAAGCACCATTACATATCGCGGCGGAAAAAGACCATGTCGGCATTGTAAAGCATCTCATAGAAAAAGGAACTGACAAGGAAATAAGAGATGACGATGAGGTAAAGTGTTCTAAAATACCAAAAAATCTTTTTCTTCTATTATTTTTAACTAAAACCTGTCCAAAAAATACAGGAAGAAATTTTTGGTTATAAATTAGCGTCAGATCTGCTTGAACGGTAGGCACTTAGGCAGCTGATATTGTAACTTTTTATGTTTTGCAAAGCACAGCATGTAAACCTACACTGACACCGAACATACACTTGACTTCAGCACTTCAAAGATTCACGCGGCTGTGCAGTTTTTGTTAATGCAATACGCATCATGTACCTACAAAATCTTTCATAAAACTTTCTTATAAAAAACAGCAGATAACTGCTTAGGTTTTATGAAAAGTGAAAGTTTCGTAACATACCAGTTTTCAAATACACAGAGATACAACCGATATAGAAAGGCTAATTACAGTAAAATAACGCTATAAATTTTCAGAGGTTTTTGGAGGGCAGTTCCTTTTTTATTTCAGATGACTCCGCTGCACATCGCAGCTGCAAATGGAAAAACTGACGTTGCAAGGTATTTAGTGACGAGAAAGAAGGTAAACATAGAAGCAGTGAACAAAAATGGGGTAAGATTTCTTGCAAAACATTTGAAAGCTTACTAAGACTTGTATTCCATTACACTTTTTAAGAAATTTATGCGTAGGTTGACAACAGAGCAAATGTAGCTCATTCAGGCAGATCACCTCATCTATTTTATCTCCCAACAACGCGACGTATTCTTAAGCGCATCTGCGTTAGCTAAACTGAAAGCAATCAAGCACCGCTTAACTCTCGATTTACTGAGAACCAGCACAACTGAAGAAACAGTGACAAATGAGCTTTTTTGTGGAGAAAATTTTTAGAGTAAGAGCGGTTTTGGGAGTGGAGAAAAAGTAGCGTAAAGAATGAGAATTACACAATATAAAGAAACACAAGAAGCAGATGTGAGCCTTTCTTTGTGCTTTGTCAGACAGAAAAAGCTACTACGCATAAACAGTTTGATATATAATGTGAAAGCGCTAGCAGTTGTTAACTACGAACAAAAAGTTAAACTTTCTGAATGGAATTGAACTAAAACGTTCATTTATCCCAGCGTTCAACTCAGCCAAAAGTTGCGTTATTAATGAGTGCGTTTTAAGCACAAAAGCCTTCTAAGGTTTGCAACCGTGTTTCTCGCGTAAAAGAACTCACAGAAAAATTAGGCAACTGTTCTTGTAGCTTTCTAAATTTTGTGAGGTGCAGCAAGTAAACCTACCATAATGTCGATACAGCAACGTGATTTCTGCACTTCAAAGAATCTGGCAGCTATACAGGTACTTATTATGCAGTACGCATCATGCACCAATACATTCTTTTATAAAACTTTCTTGTACAAAACAACAGATTACTGCTTAGATTCTATAAAAATCCAAAAATTTGAGATTACAAATAATGAAACAATTTTTGCTTAAAGTTTGTTAGGCGAACATGATAGTGTTCATATTCACTTCGCTGCCAGGTTTTGGTACCACCAGGTAAATTTTTCAACCCAGCCTTAGATTGCACACTCTTGAGAGATTACGGTGGTAGACAAAAGGCAGAAATGCGGCAGCAATCCAGTGCTTAGCAGTAACAATAAAGTACTTATCAATACTCTCTGTGATGCCTCTGAAACAGTGTTAATGCAAAAAAAAGGTTTTCTCACAATTTTTCGAAGCAAAGGTGTTTTATTAATTATAACTATGTTGCGCTGTCTGCGTCAATGAATAAAATGCGGCTGGAAACATAGACACACATGCTCCAACAATGCTTCAAATATGTGTCAATAGTGAAGAACTTACCGTATTTGCATTTCTTAGCGCGTTTTTAACGCAACTTTGATAAGACACGTGATGCTTTACATTAGTTAGGCAATACGTTCAGAATAAAAAGAAGTGCACATCATTTATCGATGAACTGGTAAAAGAATATAAGCAGCGTGTGAAAGTACCATCAATGAGAACAGTTCTTGAAACTGTTTTAGCCGAGGCACTAAAGTTTTGAAAGACAGAAATGAACAAACAGTAGATTACAGGTAAAATCTGCCGAGAGAGTACCGCATCAGTTGAGAAACAGAACCAAAGACTTTTTAACTTAATACGTGAATAAGCTCTGCCAAACAAGTAAGGCAAAGCGGTGGAGAGAAAAGCAAGCTTTACTTGCTCGTTTCTCCAGTGTTAGCTTTTTTCTGCAGCTTTGTTCTAGAAAATTTAAGCCAGAAATCCCTTATCGTTTCGTTTTCTGCTTTATTTGGTCAGCAAAAAACTTTTACCAAACTTCTTCAATTCAAAGTATTTACCTCAAAGCAGAAAACATTTCGTTTCAATTCCAAATTACTTTGTAAAATCGCTTCGATTTTACTTTTATTCCAACTGAGAAGAACGGTTGCTTTACGACCCGCAATATTTGTTTTTACTTTTCTTTGTTCGAGTCACTTGGAACAAGTTAAAGCCACTATATGTTAAAGAATTAAGGAGGTATCTTTAACAGTTACCGGCAGTTCAAGTGCATAAATAATATATATGTACTCTATCAGAAGCAGAATCTTCTAACTGGCCCTGCCTTTTTCTGCCATTTAACTTCGTGAATTGTCATTCTGAATAAGATCTAGTTCTGCATATAAGTTTTGTCGCAAAGTTATTTTCTACCTTCTTCTAAAATATAACATTTAGGGCAACACTTGTTTGTTTTCTTCAAATTGTTCTTCGCTTTTTTATGACGAAAAATTAAAAAGTTCTGTCAGTCAATTATCGTTGTTTTATACAATTTTCTTAATTCAGGAAACGCCAGTGTATGTCGCATCCCAGAAAGGTCATCAACACGTAGTGTCATTTTTACTGGAAAAAAATGCGGAAGCTAATGCAAGAAACAAAGATGAGGTAAAGTTTTTCAAGTTAATCTGAGATCTGTAAAGCAAACCTAGTGAGTTTGCGAAGAGCAGTATACCGAGCATAATGTAAAAAATTCAGCTGACGCTTTAAAGTTACGGTAGGTAATTAAATACGAACAGTTTGCTGACTATAGCTGTCAACCTGCCAAAACAGCTCTGCAAATTTTGTCACCATCACTAAAATTTCTCATTCAAAATAAACAGTTCTTTTGTATCGACCCACTAAATACTGTTTCTTCAAACGCTACTAAACCTACTTTTGACGAAGCAACTGAAAAGAAATAGATTTATATTTATGCTCCAATATATTCGTCTTATGCTTCTTTCAATTTAGTGGACCCCACTTCATGCCGCAGCCTTTGAGGGTCATGTAGAAGCCATAATTTATCTGACTGAGAATAAAGCGGATACTGCCGCAAAGAATAAGGACGGGGTAAGATTAATAAAAAAATTTGTAATAAAGTGTTAACCTTTTTAAACGTAGATCTTTATTTTTTTGTTGCAGAAATGTAGAATTTTGTAAAATTTGCTTGATATTCTTCACTCTTCTGATTGTGATTCAGTTGCGATAATTCTTGTGATGATAATACAGCCGTGTAACCGTTTGCTTAACTAGGAAGAGTTTGAAGACGAAAGAAATACCCTCAACATGATGCGGTGCAAAAGTCGCACAATTACTCCTTCTGGCTACACTTTTGTTTTTAACTTCAGAACACACCACTGTATTTGGCAGCAGCAAACGGTCACACAGATGTCATGAGGATTATGGTTGACAAAAAAATGGATGTAAATGTTCCCTGCAAAAACGAAGTACACTTTTTAATCATTTTGAAATTGCCACTAAAAAGTGACGTTCCACGCCTCAACTTTCAATTTAAACCCTAAATAACAGAGTTATACCATTTAAGTTGCTCTTTTAAGACGGTAACTAAGCAATAGTTTAGACATTTTATTGAATGCATTTCTCTTATTCTGAAAAAACAGAAATTAGCAGAAGATGTGTTACTAAGAGTGGAAGAGAAATTAATCTTAAAGTAAGAAGTAATAAGGTCAAACTAGAATTAGAAAAAGTTCTGAATCAGTTATAATGACTCTGATACCAGGTAGTGTAACACAACTCTTGAAGAGTGACATAACTGTTTTGCAGTTTCATTCGTTTTTAGAACCTTAAAAAATTTATTTTTTCAGAATTTATATACAGCAAAATGCTACCAATTAAGAAAAGAAATTGTATGGTTTACTGATTGAATGAGAGTTACAATCAGTTTGAAGCGAAAAGTGTTTAAATGTTTTTTAGAGTAAAATAATATCGGCACACTGCTTTCAATGTATTTACAAAAAACTTTAAATGCATCAGGACAGCATTACCCATGTTACAAAATTTTTTCTAATAAACATTTTTCTATTCAGTGGACGGCTTTGCATGCTGCCTGTGATAACGATCATCTGGAAGCCGTGAAATTTCTGATAGATAAAGGAGCTAACCTTAATCAAAAAACTAAAGAAGGCGTAAGAATTTTCTACATCTAAATAAAAAATTCTCACAGTTAAAGGCTCCACAATCTGTCACAATTGCTTTTTTATACATTTTATTCTGTTTCCACTTTCATAAACGCTTAAAAAGTTTTAATTAAGAGCTTTCAATTTACGTGTTATTCAACAAAAGCACAAAAAATGGTAATACGATTTTATACAATTAGGCATCCTTAAAGCTGCGTAAAACGAAAGTTAGAGGGAAACTTTGAAAACCTAGATGCAGTCACATTTCACGGTGTTTTCCCCTACTTCACTACTTTGATCTCTTAGACATCATAAATGACGGGAATTAGGAGGAAACATCGTGAAATGTGACTACGTCTAAGTTTACAAGGTTCGTCTCCAATTTTTGTTTTATGCAACTCTAAGGATGTTCAAGTGTTATTATTTTTTGAGTCTTTCTGTTTTCTTCATAAACTTTAATACATTGTGCTTACTAAGAAAAATACCAACTGCAAAATGCGTCATTATCTGTTATCAAGGCAATTATTTTGTAGTGGTTTTTGAGAAACATAAGGACAGATAGAGTAGCGCAACAAAGTATCTACTTTATTTGAATACGAGAAAACTGAATGAAATCAGAGAATACGCAAATGCTAAACAATTTAAAATTAGAGTACTAAATTTTGAGTAGCATTTTTGAATCTTTTTGTTCAGCAGTAATAATATTCTGCTAGATCATATTATTTTTAAATAATTCTCTAATATAAAAAGCTTCAACAAACCGCTGTTCTTGCATAGCTCTTTTTTCGTGGAAAACTTTTTTTTTGCTTTAGTCGACGCCACTTCGTATTGCATCGAATAAAGGCCATTTAGAAATCGTGAAGTATCTGATAGAAAAAAAAGCTGACGTTGACGAGGAAACCGAAAATAAAGTAAGCCCCTTTTTATGTATAATGAATGAAATGCTGCAATAAAGAACGACACACTGTGTTGCACATATCCTCTAACTTTCGGTCAATACTTTACAAAGACTTATCAAACTGCAGAAAATTTACAAAAAAATTCTTGCTTTATATCATTTACCTTGACACATATTTGAGAAAAAAATATTTAAGAAATCTTCATGCCAAAATAAATGCGCTTTTTTTTAGCTCTCTTCTGCTTTGAAAAAACATTTAATAAACTTCTGAATGTAAACAATTTTTTGAAGTTCTAAAAATTTTTTCAAGTATTTAT